GGTTTGCTGCCAAGGACCTGTCTGTCTGTTAATTAAATGCCGTAACTTATCTTTGGCTTGGAGTGTGAGTTGGTGTGGGACAAGGGGGGTCAGAACAGAAAGTGTAAAAATGAATGAGTATGCAATTAATGTAGACTAAATGGAAGAATGAGTGGTCAGTAGAAAAATGTGCTTTGATTATCTACTTTAGACAAAATGAATGAGGCTAAATTGGAAACAAATAAAGGAAAGAAGAATGAGAAGACTAAAAAAATTAAAAATGGAGAGGGGTGGGAAATTTAAAGGACAAAATAAAATACAAATTGGTGTACAGACTTTTGGAAACAAGGATGATCTGGAAAGGAAGAAGTATAGTAAATTGTATTAGTGTAAGCCAGATTTTTATTTATTTTATTTATATCCCACCTTTATTGTTTTAACAAGTCCAGGCGGCGAACATATCCAAGACCTTCCTCCTCCTATTTTCCCACACCAACAACCTTGTGAGTTGAGTTGGACTGAAAAAGATGGACCAGCTCAATGCCACCCAGCTGACTTTCATGGTTAAGGTGGGACTAGAACTCAGAGTCTCCAGCTTTCTAGACTGGTGCCTTAACCACTACACCAAAAAGAATCTAATTAGACTTTCTTTCCTTTTCTAGAATCAATTGCATTATTTCTTCATTCCTTGGCAGCCTCTCTGACATGTTGCATGATAGTACATTAGGATGTAGAAATAACCAAAATATTTTCAGTCATTACACTGTAGTCCTCAAGTTCCAACCATTTGTTTAGTGATGGTTCAAAGTTACATTGAAAAAAATAACCAATGACCATTTTTCAGACTTACGACTGTTGCAGCATCCCCATGGTCCCATGATCAAAATCTGGGATGCTTGGCTACTGCCCTTTATTTATGACGATTGCAGTGTCCCGGGGTCATATGATTGCCTTTTGCAACCCTCTGACAAGCAATGTCAATGTAGAAGCCAGAGTTACTTAACAACCATGTTACTAACTTAACAACTGCAGTGATTAACTTAACAACTGTGGTAAGAAAGGTTGTAAAGTGGGGCAAAACTGTCTTGCTTAGCAATAGAAATTTTGGACTGTGGTTGTATGTTAAGCAATACTTGTATAAAAAGCAATGGATGGAGGGATTAAGATAAATTTCATTTACAGATATGGAGCACTTTATATTTAATTGGAATTCATTGTGAAACCTGGAAGGTTCAAGCAAGTGTGCCCAAGGGGGAAACAGGGGGGGGGGGCGGATGGACGGACGAACAGACGAAGACTCTCCACGGGGAACGAACTCCCCGTGGAGATTCGNGATGACGGTTGACTAATAAAAGACTCTTAGGAACATGTATTACAAATTAATTACACCAAATTGAAATGGAGTAATTCCCAGATAAGTGAATACAGAATTGCAGCCTAAATATTGTATCCGCTGGTTAGTCTGGCAGAAGTAATACAGACTTTTTGCTTTCTTCCTATCTACTACAACATAAAAAATAAGTAGAATTTCATATTGAAAAAAAAATCAAACAACTGTTCTACTTAACATGATATTGTTTACTGCAACTGCTAATACTGTAACTCTTGAAGCAGCCTTCCCCAATGATGCCCTTATGGCCATTATGGGAATTACTGTTCCACAGTTCTGGAAGGCATCAGATTAGGGAAGATTTCTCTGGAGAGTAATTGCTATGTTTTAAGCTAGCAGGCTTCCCGGGGCAACTTGTTGGCAATAAACAACGTGCCGTTAGAAAAATAGGATTCTCATGGTAGTTTCTTATGAAAGTTAGAATAACCTGAAAAAGTATAATTTTGATCAACATACTTATATCAGCACAATGTGTTCACATTTCTTTTTAGGGCATTGTTACGTGGAATATTCGCCGTAATTGGGAAAGTTTACCTGTCAAACATGAACAAGCAAGATAAAACCCATCATGTGATCTAGGGCAATGTTTTTCAACCTTTGCTACTTTTAAGATGTGCGGTCTTCAACTCCCAGAATTCCCCAGTCAGCCCACTAATCTTTGCAATGCTACTACCGTATGAATTAGGTGTATTTTACCTGTAAGAGGGCTAAAAAGCTTTCACTCTGTATTATTTCTGGAAAATTGGTCACCATAAATGCCATACACTCTTCCTGCAGTCTAAATGCCAACGTTCGAGCTGTTTCGGTCCATTTCACTTGGGGAAGACTATTAAGTAGCCTGTTGGTTTCCATCAAAAGACGGGCTGCATTCTGGGGGCTCTTAAAAGAAAAAACAAACAAACACATATTCTGAGCAAAAATTTGACACAATTCTGTATGTACCCATTACACCATAGCATTAGCAAATTAATTCTCATGTTAATTATAGGTAAATGTAATTCACACATGCCAATAGGAAGGAAAGTGTTTGTGAGAATAAACGGAAAGCTTAGAAAAATGATTTGACAATCGGCAAGGAGTCAGGGATATGCAACAAACATTAGATTGTAGAGTATAATGAGATTTATAACTCTGAAAATTAATGTATCAAATTCAGGATAATTATGTTTGACAGGGGAAACAGTCTGAACAATTGAAAAAAAATCAGACAAGTTAGTGGGTACTGTATGGATTTTTTTAAGGGATGTTTATCCAAAGTAGTAAAAAACGCAGTGTTTCTGCTCATTTTGATTTTACAGAAGTGGAAAATATATGTATGAATGAGACTGATATACTAAAGGAGCGCCTGCTAAAACAAGGAGGGAAGGAAAAAGAGAGAGAAAGATAGAAAGTTGTTGTGGCCCAGCAGGAGCCGTTGGAGCTGCCACCAGACTCCGACAATGAGGGGCCCTATGAGTCAGCTTTGGAAGATGTGGAGGACCCTGGACAGGGTTCCGACTCGGAGCAGGGCACAGAGAGGCTGGTTG